TGCCCAAGTATGCCAAGTTCATGAAAGATATCTGCACCAACAAGAAGAAACTTGGGGATCTTTCGACAGTGATGTTGAGCGAGGAGTGTTCTGCTATCCTGCAGAACAAGCTGCCCGAGAAGCGCAAGGATCCAGGGAGTTTTACTATCCCTCTTACTATTGGCAGCATGCATGTAGGCAAGTCCTTGGCGGACCTAGGCGCTAGCATTAACGTCATGCCATATAAGTTATATAAAATGCTAGACCTAGGTGAACTTAGCCCTACTAGGATGAGCATTCAATTAGCTGATCGTTCTATCGTGCATCCTAAGGGTATCATTGAGGATCTGCTTGTTAAAGTAGGTACATTCACATATCCTGTTGATTTTGTTATTCTTGATGTGCATGAGGATGTGGATGTGCCTTTGATTCTAGGTAGGCCATTTCTTGCCACCGCCAAGGCACTTATTGATGTGCATGATGGAAAATTGATCTTGCGTGCTGGGAATGAACAGGCTACTTTTTCTGTGACTGAGTTTGATCACTGTGCTATGATTGCCGTCACGCCTGTGAATGCCATTTCTGATCAGGTACACGAGTCTGTCATGTACCCTTCTGCACCTCCTATTTTGCAGGACCCCCCCATCATTCCTTCGCCGCCACTCCATCCAGCCTCGCCTCCGAACAAAAAGCTCAAGGAGGAGTGGCGGCCGAAGCCGCAGGTTGCTAAGCCTGCACGAAAGAAGAGTGGAGACCACTATGAGCTGGTCCCACCTCCTGCACCACGACCACCCTGGCCGTCCGGGTACTCACTCGCCTGCATCTTGCCAGATGGGCAGGTCGAGCTGACTGATGATGGTGGTCGCATCCGTCGGGTGCAGGGCCACAACCTGAAGTTGTACCTCAAGAGCGACGTGGATCCGCTCTTGGAGGCACCTTTTCCTGCACCACCCTGAGTATCCACCATGGGCGTCCAGCTAATACGACGGTAAAGAAGCGCTTGTGGGGAGGCAACCCCACCTCGGTTTGATTTTCTTTCTTGTGTTTTGCGTCGGATTGTAACCCGGTTTGGGTTTGGTTTGTTTTCTTTTGGTTTGGATGATATTTTATTGGGCTGACCATTGAACCTAACATATTGTGTCTGAGCTCTTCTGTTTCCCTTTGGCTGTGCGTGCCCCGACTGGCCCGTTTCCAGTCTCCTACAGTCCGTGCATACCGGTAACATCGTTCCCTTATCCTTCCCTCTTCTCCATTGAGGGCAATGTCGATCTTAAGTGTGGGGGGGATGTTTATCTTTTGACTGCATTAGATCTGTTTGTGTGCTTGGAGCCTAGTCCACTGTCCAAATTTTTAAATTTGAGGGCTCCAAGTACGTGTTTCCATGCAATTGCCTGCTCAGTATGCTTTGAATTGACAGTCTTTATAGTAATGTGCAACCTAGGGAGGTAGTGTAGCACTATGGAGGATGTTGATGCATTTAAGAAGTCTCATTTCTTCTTCATATTGTGTTTGTTGATTGAGTGAATTAGTGATCTTAGGACCCTTGAATTGTGTGGTGTTGTGGATTCTCTGCTTGTCATGGACTCTTGTATCATGTTTTGAGTTTAACAGGTGCTCGAAAATGTGCTTCAAAATAACGTCTCCCGTGCGAATAGGGCGAAAGTGTGTAAGGGGAGACGGGAATCCGTTCCCAATTTCCACCTACTACCTCCAGCCCCCTTACATGTCTTTCCCCCGCACGAGGCTCGAGACATCCGCTCCTGGCATGGCCGGTAAGAGCAGGTTGGGACCCTTGAAAAGAAAAAAAAGAAAAGAAAAATAACAGAAAACAAGCAAAACAGGAAAAAAAGGGGTTCCAACCATCTTCAAAGAAAATCGAGCACCTTGAAAAATGTGAGTCCATGATCTTTTGTTTTTGAGAATCTCTTCATCCACAATTCATTTGTCCTCTGTTCACTGTTTGCCATGATGCCGACTCGCCGAAGAAGCTATGAGATGACTTGTGCGTCGGTTGACCTCGTAAGCTGCTAAATGACCTAGGAAGTCCTCTACTTACGATCTGGGTTGTTTGTTGCTATGGAGGTCTGGAGAGTTGCATTGGTTTGAGTTAGGTTTGCTTGGGGACAAGCAAACGGTTAAGTGTGGGGGAGTTTGATAACGATGTAATTGCACATGTTTGCGCCCCTAGTTCTTATCCGTTTGAGGGGCATATTCGTGTGTTGTGGCCTATTTTACGCCGGGTTGTGCTATTTTGTCATGTTTCAGGTCCCAGGTGTCAAAGGGAAGGCTAAGCGCGAGTTTCGGGGCATTCGGAAGTCATTTCGGTGAGCTGGAGCCAAAACACGGGCACACCTAAATCATTACACGGCCGTGTTCTGGTGGCCGTGCTTTTTATGCCGAGAGCTGAGCTGATTACACGGGCAGGGCCAAAACAAAACACGGGCGTGTTCTGCCAAAGCACGTGCGTGTTCCACCAAAGCACGGCCGTGTTTCTCCCAATGCACTGGCCGTGTAATTAACACTAGCCAAAGCACGGGCGGGCTGAGGCATTACACGACCGTGCTCTCGACCGTGCTTTGGCTGATGCCTTTTTAAGCAGATTTTCAGCCAAACAGAAGGGGATTGGAGTTTTTGAGAGAGAGATTAGTTCCTAGAGAGAGAAAGTGACGAGCAAGAGTTCCCAAGTGCCCTAGATTGATCTTCAACACCATTGGAGGCCAGTTTGAGCTTGGAGAAGTGCCGATCAACGTCCAGGAGCCGGAATCCGTCCTTCGCAGTATGAATTCCGTGTCTGTTTCTGCTTTTGCTTTCTTCTCCATGGAGTAGTTCTCCCATTCATCTGGGTATGGAGAACCCTAGATTTGTATGTTAGGCTTTGATTGTATGAACCCAAGTACTGATTCTGTGATTGATTATATTTGATTGAGGTTTTAATGATTGAATGACTTGAATCCTGATCAAATTCCTGTTGTTTCTGCTTTAACCTAGAATGAGAATATCTGCATAGGTTAATAGAGTATCCTTGATTGAAGGTAGGGAGTTGGTGACTTTAGTCGAGGAGCCAACTCACTATTCTGTACCGGATTTACTCCGGTAGTGGAGGTTTTGTTCTTAGGGCCTCAATCTGTCGACTCCGGTGGAGGTTAGTCACCCGCTAGAGAGTCAGATTGAGAGGGTCTGAAGACCTTTAGTCGAGACTTCAGGCTGTTTAAGAACCTTCCGCAGTATAACTGTCATAGAAACTGAACTTGGTAATTACAATCCGGCTTAACTGCAGTCTAGGGGGAACCATATCCGGGTGACCTCTTTAACCTGAATACAACCAGTTTACTTGCTTTGTTTGTTTGGTAGTTTAGACTTGCACTCCAGTTTTATTGCTAGATAACAAGAACTCACTGAGTAGTCAGCAAATCTAGGACCCGGGTTGATAATTAAACCTAAACCCGCTATACTACGCTTTAGGAAGTGGTTACACTTGGCCAATTCCTGGAGTGACAGTATGGTCTGGTCTGGTCCATGGTCTGTACTATTTTATATTTTGATCTCTTGGTCTAGTCTGGTCTAGACCGCGGTTTACCAGACCAAACCGTGGACCCAACTGACTTGTAAATACGTGTTAACAGCCCATTCGACCACTCTCCCAACTCCCAAAATGACACCCAAGTCTCAATCTTAGTTTTGTGAATCTCGTCCCTCCTTAATTCACAACCACATTTAACTAGAGAGTAGAGATAATCGTGTCTCCATATGACATTATGTTAATTGTTATGACGTTATGGTGCAAGTTGGGATGCTTTTACTTTGTATCTTTGGTATGTACTAAGAGTATCAAAATTATTCATGCATGTTAGGATTAATGATTTAAGGCAAATAACAATTATTTTTCCTGGTTATTGGTTCAATTTTTTGTGTGGTTGACTAAACAAATTATTCATTTTTCGTTGAGTGTGGTCTATCTGGACCAGACCGAACCAGACCGCACAGGCGTGGTCTGGACCAAACCGTATAGTCTGTGGTCTAGTCTGTGGTCTATACTTTAGCCTCTCAGTCTGGACCATAGACCGTATAGCTGGTCTGGTCTGGACCAGACCGCACCGTTTCCCAGCCCTAATGTGAATGCTTGTATGGATAGAATGATTTTTGTGTGGTTTTGTTTAATGTGAATGTGGAGGTATTATTCCTGAATGATTGTGTTGTGGGAAAGTCTATCAATCTAATTGCCATTCTAACCTAGGTAGAGAGAAAACCCCCTTCCCTTCTTTGAAAGAGGCTTGAATGCTGGGTTTTCTTAGGCAATTCATTGTCTGCTAGTTATGTTAATGCAAGGCAAACTTCTTATTTTGTATTAGCAACTAGGGTTTGGTTGGGGGTGGCCATCCGAACTCCGATTCGAGAGTGAAGTCTAACCAATCCTTAGAAAATAGGTCGAGAGGTTCACGTTGGTGGCTTGGATTGTATCCCATCCCTCGACCTAGAGACTAAGAGGGTGGCTTTGGCTACTTGTTAGACTTCCCTACGATTTACAACTCTCTCACCACAAACGCCCATTCGATCCATCAAGTCATAAATTCTAGCTAGGGGGAGCAACACTTGGGTGAGGCCTTCTCAATTAGTGTTAAAACCATTTATCTTTGCAAGTACTTTAGCTTTAGATTGTTGTTTTCACCAAAAGCCAACTTCTAGATAATGTTACAAGCAACCGAAGTAGGGGTACATGAACCGGCCTGGGTCGATATTAAAACATACTTGCCATGTACTGCACCCGGTTAAGGTTTATACTTGGGGCTTAATTAGGGTTTTAAAGTGGTGCATTCAGGTTGAGTTAGTTCTCTACACTTGTGACATTGTTTTGTAACTAACTCGCACATATCGACTAGTACACCATAAAATCACATCAAAATCAAATAGGAATGCAATAGGGATGTATTTAGGATGTTCAATCTGTTAAACACATGAATTGGCACAAAACATACCAAGATATGTAGGGTAAATAACACCAAGTTTGGTGTTATCAAACTCCCCCACACTTAGGCGTTTTCTTGTCCCCAAGCAAACCTACTCAAACCTAATGGAATATGATAGATAAATCAATGAGGTGTGCATGCTAGTTCATTTTCTGCACCAAATGGTCCTGACCCCACTGGTTAAGAGAGTGAGTGAGGGAGCAGAGAAAAAGAAGCCTTGCTACCATCGTTGCCAATGGTGGTGAATATGTTAACTGTCTTTGACAACAACGGTGATGGAGAAACATGTGTATAGGGCTGTTAGCGGTGCGGTTTCGGTTTTAACAGAACCGCAAACGCTGGTAACCGCATCCGACAATCACCCAAAAACCTCAACCTCCACCGATTGCCTTGTTGGTTAGCCGAAAATCGTCGTCGACGGTTTCGGGTCGGTGTCGCGGTTAGCTAAAGACCGACGTAGGGGGTGGACCTGGCTAGATTTCTGGATCCGACTGCCGAATCTCGCCGCCGAATCGGGCTGTGGACTACAGAGTAGTATCTACTTTTGCCTCTATTGCCAAAGAGAGATAGAGGAACACAGGAGGAAGAGGAAGAAGGCCTGAAAGAAGGATATGCTTCCACTGTTCTGGATCTTGCTTTGACAATAAAGGAGAGATAGAGGTCGTCGGCCAAAGTTCTCGTTTGTCGCCAGTCGCCACCACGACCCTCGCCGTTGAATCTCTCTATCAAATCTCACCATTATTTGAGACAAGGCGATGGTGAGCTAGCAATTGGCTCCGACGAGGGGTGCCGGCGAGGTAAATGGGAGGGGACAACAGCAAGGAAGCAGGCAGGGAGGTGAGGATGAAACGTGCAAGGCAATGCAGGGGATGGCGACGACGACCGATGATCGATCTGGAGGATGAAGAAGGGGCGGCAACGACGTTGTGACCTTGCATCTGGTGAAATTGCTTCCATTGATTCCTTCCACAGCGGCGAGAAGGCGACCTCTTTCGACAAGGAATGGGTGGGCGAAGCTACGCGGGGATAGTTAGTAAAATACGGTACAGGAAAGTTACGTATAAAATACGTACGGGTATTTTACTTTGTCTCTAAGCTAATGTTACGTTTAATAGTACGTTAATAGTCATAAATATATAAAATTGGTTATTTAAAAAATAAATATATAAAAACAGTAAATTTAATAATTTAATTCATTAAATACAGATATTAAACGTGTTATATGAATTTTATACGTGTTTAGTACGGGAACCATCAAAAGAAAGTAAGCAAATGAAACGGCTTAACAATAATACGGATACAGAAGTTTTAAACGGATAAAGTACAAACTGGTACATATACATGTATTAAACAGTGTATTTACTAACTATGCGGGGGAGATTGAGGTAGAGACCTCGACGGCGAGTGGCAATTGAGGATGGTGGTGGCTGGTGGGCGACGAGTTCTGGTGGAGCCATGCGAGAGAAGGGGGAACTGGGAAAGGGTAGAGAGCAGCAAGAGCGTAGAGGAGAGGTAGAGATTGGCGAGGGGTAGGGATTAGGACTAGCGGTGCACCGAGTGGTTCTCGATTAAAAACTCGCAGTTGCCATTTATAGAATTCCCCTCCAAAGGCCAACCGACGCCGACACTGACAGTCCCAATTGATTTTCGATTTCAGTTATTAATCAACGGTGCGGCTCAATTTTCCTGTTAAACCGGATAACCGACAATTGATTATCAAACCTACGTGTGTAGATTGAGATTTTTTTTCTAACACATGTATTTTGAGATTTTTTTTTAATAACATGTGTATTTTGGAATTTTTTCCCTTTGGGTTCATTATGGTTTCCCGTTCACCTATGACCAAAGATAAACACAGCCAACAGAACACGTTCATGAAATACAGCATTCTGATACATCTAAATTCAGGGAGAAGCATACCAAACACAGACATTGATAAGGCTGATCTCTTCGACACATTCAACTTCCACTTGCTCAAACAAAATTGTGTTCACAAACACGCTAATCAAGGCTAATAATCCCTCCAACAATAGATCTGTAAGCTAATACTAGCTTCAGTACATGACAGGGGCTAGGATCTCTAATTGGGGTCCAAGCTTCTCCTCTGCTACCTTCTCAGCCTTTGCCCTAAGTTTGTTCAATCCTTTCTTCCTCTCATACATCAACTTGGCCTTCTCCTTTCTCTTCTCCTCGAGCTCCTGCAAGATATCACAGAGTTGAGTCATAACCATCATAGAACAGAAGGGACAAAAAGAGTTATTATAGCGCCAACCCGAGAAAATGATCATCTGACATACATATGATATGGCAAGGAAACACAATAACACATGGAGGCAGAGGCAACCCGAAATAAGTCATAATCATCAGTGATATCACAGTATACAGTGGAAGATACATCTGATATGGCAAGGAAGCACAATAGCACATACAGATATTGGAGACTGATGGCAAAAGCAGGAGACCAACAGAAGAAACATGACATACACAGAAAGATACAACGGGGACTCAATTCCATTCATCAAAAACAGGAAAGGAAAACAAAAACTTGATTCCATGTTTTCCCAGATTTTCCAAAACAAGAGATATGAAGATGACAACACTCACCCTGATGGTGTCATAATGGTTCCATCCAACTTGTGATGACAGCTGGCCCAACAAGCAGTACTTGTGTCCACTCTGAAGCCTCAACACCCTAAAACCACACACACAACCAAAAAGAAGGTTAAGATATGAAGCCTGGGATTATATAAAACAAATCACAATAGACAGCTAGGACAATCAAAGACTACATAATTCAAATACCCACTTGAGAGCATCAGGGACAACCATCCTCTTGATCTTGTCATATGGAGGTGGAACGCCCTCATAAGCCTTCAGCCTTGCAAGCGCAGCTTCTCCACGCTTTGTCTTGTGAGGAATCATTCTGCATTAATAATTGAACAGAGCTATGCATAAGAACTCCCCCACCTCACAGCCAGTAGCCATTTCACGAAGTGCACAACCACAAGTTATAACTTAAGCATTTGATAGCAATGTTGGCATCTCTCGTTAACCAATGATGAACTTCTCTCCTTAAGCATTAATAGAATAGAAGAATAAAATAATCTAATTAAGCATCCGAGGGCATCTCCATCAATTCCTTACGAAGTCAAACCAATTTGTTCTAATAGCGTAAATAAAAGTTCTCCATGCTAACAGTACAATAAATAAGGCACAGAAGCTCCTTAACCATTAAAATTCGAAACCCCCCAAATTCTAATATCTAAAGTTACAGTGCTCCATCAAAGCCCGCCAATTTTCCTCAAACCAATGGCCACCACATCTTCCAAAACGTGGAAGGTTGCAAAACTAATAATCAACCAGGAAAATTGTTGAAAGAAAAGCGTGTAGGATAGAGAAATCTGACCCGCGGACAGTTCGCCAGAAGATCTTAGAAGGAGCGCGGAAGTGGATGGGACCATGTGAAGGCTTGGTGTTCATGCGCTTGCGCAGGAACCTCATGTACTTCATTTTCTGGCGCACAAGTCCTCCGGACATGGATATCTCCTCGCACCTGACTACCACCACTTTCTGACCGTTGAGAAGCTCCTTCGCCACGATCGAAGCCAGCCGGCCGAGCATGTGGTGTCTGGCGTCCACCACGACCCTCTTCGCGCAGATCCCCGATCCAGACACCATTTTTCTCCTACGTTAGCTCTCGCTTTCCTCCAACTATGCCCTAGCCTGACACTACCAATTGAGGTTATAACTTTATATCGGGGACAAGGATAGGGTTTTTGTGCCCGCACCCGCAGCAGGGGTTTGTTGATTGATCGGGTCGAGGAAACTCGGGTCGGATTTCTTGACTTGACTATGTGGATCGCCTCTGGGCCATGAGCCCAGTCATCGCTAATTTGGGAAATGGGCCTTTACTTGCGCCGCTTGTTCCATGAGCCAGCAGGTGGTTTGACTTGCTGGTCAACTCGCCAAAATAGGATCCGGTGACCAAATTTTTTAGGGTAACGTTTTTTATATCATTCAATTCAAATCTATTATAATGCTATTAATTAGCCGAAATTTTCCTAATGCAACAAAATATTAGCTTTTGTTACGTTATCGTTAATAATTTTGTAACTCTTACTAAATTTTTGAAATGGTAACTTTCATGCATCTCTTCCAAGTCAGTTTCATTTTTCCAAATCAATATTACTAACAAAAATGCTAACTGAATGTTAATATTTGGCTAATTCTTAGTATTTCTATAGGTTTGGCTAATAAAAAAATCCGAAAAAAGTTTGGCTAATAAATAGTCATTACCCAAAAAAATGTAAGTCAATTCTTACGGGTGGTTTGAAAGTTGGGATTGCAAGTGAGGTATTTAGTCAATACATGTAATAGTAACTAAGATTAAGCCTTTTTTTGTTTCAATATGAGTTAGAATTCATGTATTACTTTTTACTGGATCATCCTATAATCACTCAAAATGAATGATTATCAATCTCTACAAAGTTGATATTGGTAACCAGGGATAGCCTACCCCATTTTTTGTTCCATCATTATCCCTCCAAACAAGGTATTTTCCTAATACATTCATTGAATCAATAAATCAAATGATAATACACAACTTGATTAAATACATCTATTTGAAGAATCTCAACATCCAAACATGCCATTCTTTTGAGTGTGGTTTCCAGTTTTGGATCATTCGAGTCCTAAAATAATGTTCAACACACATTTTTAGTGCATCAGCGCCAAAATTGGTTTCTGGGTTGCCTGTTATAGTGTACTTTCCGAGTTCAAGCTACTGACATTGATGTTCAATGCTTATACAAGGCGATTCTCAATAATGTCTTACCCAAAAAGACATCAAATGTGTGAAAACACACCTAGAGGCCACTACAAGCACTTAGGAGGAGACACCATGTTAACATTTTTATTAAAGATACTATAGTAATAATATGATTATTTATACACTATAAATAGGATTATTTATACACTATAATTTTGGTACCCAAACTTAATACATCTCAATATTTAGTGTCTAAAATTAATTTTTTACGCATAAGTACTGAAAATATTTACGTAAGCACTAAAAATATTAATGGAAAATTATATATTAGTACCTAAATTTTTTCAATTATATTTTGATACCTAAACTTTTAAAATTTTACAAATAGGTCCACTATTCAAGAAACTTAAAAGACTACTTTAAGAAACTTGTGGTCTGGATTTTGTGGTGAGCATTTTTTGGCTTTTGGCCTGGAATTTGTGGTTTGTGGTAAAAATTTTGTGGAGTGGATTTTATGGGGTGAATTTTCTCTTCCCCCATTTAATTGCACAAGACACACGAGACTTCCCCCTTCTCCCAATTTTTATTAATGACCAACGTGCACCTCCGCCACTTACTCTTCATTAACTATGGTCAACTTATTTAAATGAAAAAGTCGTTCAAAAAGAATGTTTCTATTGGTAGGAGCTAGTGTTAGCACCATGCTAACAAAAAAAGTGTTAGCACACTAGACCCTCCCACAAGCACCATTGATCAAGCAAAATAAAATTAAAATGGCTAAAAATATAATTAAATGATTCAAAACATTCCATATAATGAGGTATAAAAGCAATATATTTTAAGTGTCATCAAATTACCCTACACTTGAACTTTATTTGTCCTCAAGCAAGCCACACTCAAAATCATGCAACTCATTGAAAATCATGATGACCCGTGACTTTTGATCATGGGTAGGGAATGATAGTAACTTACAAGCCAACAATCTCACTAGAAAACTAGACCACATCATTGAGGTGCATATCTCATAAGGACAATCTAGCATTCGCACTTCAATCATAAACAACCAACTAAGAACGAAAGTCTAAAAAACATGTAGGGTGAAGCTTTTGGAAAAACTTCATGAGGTATTTCAAGAGGTTTGGGAATCAAAAGCTCGTGAAAATGGAGTTTTGGACATGGTTTGTGTGGAAAACAGTAGTGAAGGTATACGAAAGGCTGAGAACCAGAGCTCGAATTTAGTCGTTCAAATGCGAAAATGGTGGCCCAAGCCCCAGGTTTGCTGCCATTTTAGATGGATAGGGTGATTCGGATTTGGGTCATTGGCTTATGATTTCTAAGGTTACTACGTAGAAACATAATGTTTTAAGCACAATAAAGTCGATAAATATCACATGAAATGCATACCTTTCAAGAAAAGAAGAAGCTACAAGTGGATGATCAACCTCGTTCCATCGTTCACACAATCAATTACCAAAAATTAAAGAGCATTCGAATAGCCCAAAATAGCTTGCAACGTTATTCATGGGTTGCCTCTCGTGAAGCAGTCTTTCTTTTATGCCTTTGAGCTAGGTGAATCAACCATCAATATAGATCAGAAGGCCATTCTCCTCCCCAATCTTGTAGAGGAGGTGGTTTGAAGAAATCCTTAGGCTTTGTGTCAAAAGCTCCACTAGGAGGCTTATGGACCCCTACATGCAGATCGTTCATAATTTCTTTGATCTCTCTCTTGCTATATGGAGACAATGAGTTTCCCTGGTGGAATTCTCTTGCGATGAACTCTATTTCTCTTTTTATGTTCACTAGAAGAGTCTTGTCGATGTCTTCCCAACAATTTGGCATTGGGAACTCTAAGGATTCATATTCGGATCCTTTGATGGAGGACTCTGATGACTTAATGAGCGGGCGGTTTAGATATGTCGATTGCGTGCTCCGCATTTTCGATTATCATAGTGATCTTTCATGCAAGAATATCGATAAAATGCTCCGGCGTATGCTAAAAATGGTGTTGACACATGAAAATTATTATTTTATACCCCTATTTTATTGCAGGTTTTGCATAGTTTTTGTATCTTTAGTTCCATTATAGCTTGAAATTGCTTAGTAATCACTCAAAGGATTACTTTCATTATTTTGATATACTTTTATTTTGATATAATTTTGGGCTTCGCTCCAATCTCTATTTATGAATTCTAGTAGCTGGATCTTGATTTCTCTCACTCGCACACGGTGGTCCAGATCATCCTATATTCAAGAAAATATGCCACACTTGGAGGGTAAGTTGGAGATAAACCTAAAGGATTATGGGGAAATAATTTCTACCCTACTTTCTCTCCAAAAAAAACCGTGATATAAGAGCCTATAAATAGACCCCTTGGGTAAGATGCAAGCATGAAGACATATTTGGGAATCTCTTCTTCGATTGATGTTCTCCCAAAATCATGTCCCCATGAACGGCTAGGTCGTTAGTTGTGTAGGTTTGCAAACCGTAGAGGTTCTTTAGACTTTGTAACTATTGATTCTTGGTTATATATGATTATTTGAGTTCTTCATTTATGTGTTTGATTTCATAGTTGTCAAACGATTGTGTTCTAAAGCTAAGCTATTATCTGATAGATATAGCCTTCGAAATTTGAATCTGTGCTGATGTGACTAGATACGACTGTCTTTCGCAATTGATTTCATCAATCGATTGAACTGTGTGACACCTCAAGGGTGGAATCCATAGGGTCCTTGTACGCTAATAGATATGGTAAATGCTATGACACAAGGTAGGAATAAATCCTACAAGAGTCAAACAACTCATATGCTGCCAGTATCAATCGAAGCAAGTATAAACAAACTCTAATGAGAGGTTGCCTAATGCAATACCTTTTCTCTTCCACTTCCCTCATAATTTAGCTTAAGTTCTCCTTTAATTTTTGTTTTCTTTTTAAAACCAAGGGGAACCTTATGATCGGAGGCACCTAAAATCTCCATATTCGTTTTAGAAGCCCAAAGAGCAAGTCCCTTAAGATATGAGTAAGTGATTGTGAGAGGTCATGATGGAATACTATCCTAGTTACCAATCAGGTAAATTTGTATTTGCTTTACCACATATCAAATTTTGGCGTAATTTCCAAGGACTCTCGTGATCTTCAGAAAGGAAATTAAGTACTTGCTCTTTTCCCATTCTCTTTTTGTGTTTTTGTTTTGTTTTTTTGTTTAATATTATTTTTTTAGTTGTGTTTTGTGTGTTTTTAGAGTCTTGTGATATATCATTCTGTTTTAATCATATTTATGTTTACTTCTCATTTTAGTTTGTGTTTTCTCCATTTGTCTTAATTTTTTTATTTAATAGTCCTTTGTTAGTGACCAAGTTCAATACAAAATTTTCTTGCAAAATTTGGCGCCTGGGTGCTAATTTGGCATAGACCTACAACGTGACGGTTTTTATAACCAAACTTCTATGTATGAGCCCAACATGAACCAAGGGGGAAAAATTAAGCTCAAAAGGCTTGCCTATGGTCATGTTTATCAAAGTGATACTTTCAAATCCCTGGAACCAAATACAACACCTCCATTTAAGGGGAAAATGCAACTCACAACTCTTTGTCTTAACCCTCTTTTCGACGTGTGTGTAGAAGAGGAAATCAACAAGCTCCCTTATGAACTTAAAATTCATGGAGGCATGACTTAACAAACTCTCTACGAGTAGACCATGCCTCAAGCTGTAAATATCACTTCCAACATTGTCCTACCATCAATAATTGTCCAAAATTTCGATTTGTGAACTTCTACAATCCACATGGTCGAGAATGTTAGATGCTTTGAGGGACAAGATAACAAAATCATGTTGAACACATCAAAGTGTTTCTAGAGATATGTGATTCTGCACAACATCCATGTGTTCATCCACACACAATCAAGCTAC